GTGTGCGTGCGCGTGCGCGCACTCGGAATGTACTCAGGCGAATGCTTATGGAGGACGCTTTTTGAAAGTTAGATTTTGCCCACTGAAGATTAAACAACACTAAGGGTCTGCTGCCATACTAGCGACTCTGTGAGGCTGCACTTAGGCTCAGCAGTGCTTAAAGTCAGCATTCTAGTATGCTCACAATGACAATGTTACATGCTGACGCTAAGCAGGGAATCTACAATCAAAATAAAGCATGTGAACTTCAGTGTTCATTTTATAAACTATAAATAATGAAATTAACAAAAACACTATTCAATAATTGCATGCTACTAAGGCAACAAGGTAAACGTATGTGTTCCACTATGCAGCACTTCTTGGTCATCATATATTTTGCTCATAATGAGTACAGTATTTAGTATACAATGAGGTACTTCAGTCAAGAAGTAGATGTTTTGTGTTGCTTTTGTTTGGATCGGAGTCGAGCAAATCTCATACTGTCTATATTGTTTTTATAGTAATGACATTCCATAAAATTCTGTCAGCGAACACTCATTCGATTGTGTAAACCACTCAATTAGTTGATTTAATCAACAGATCTGTAAAAGTTAGTGTCCCCACAAAGAATCATGCAACAGCACCACTTAGCACCCTTTGTTTACCAGAGATGTGTTCATTAGTTTCTTGGAAATAAGTCCTAAAGAACGTCTGATAGACTAAAGAAATCTTAGTCGCCTAAGACCAAAGGAACCATGAGTGGACTGAAAGGGGGCAGCCCTATAAAATTCAGCTGAATAGATATTCTACTCAACATAACTTGGGTATAGTCAATCTTTAATTTCTAATTCTTAATGATTTAATTTTAAAATGCTGAAACCAAATAGCTGATGTAATTAAAAAAAGGGATTTGAAAATGATTGAGAATCACTGAAGCAGCTATCAAACCCCAGTTCACACTGTCTGATCACATCTGTACATCTGATGTAAAGTATGTTGAAACTTGTTGATCCCATGACTTTCTGTGGCGGAGAAACAAACTCGATGCATCCACATGACTATGCAAGGTCAGAGCAAGTAACGTAGTATTAAATAGCGACAAAGACTTCTTATGGTGGGCGGGAGTGGAGGTGGATGTGTCCAACGAACCCACGAGACCGGTTTTGAACACGTGTCCAAGAGTGTTGTTGGGTTTTTATTGCCTAACCCTAACATTCATGATGGTTTTCCTAAACCTAACCTTTATTGCCTAACTTTCGTTTTATAAGGTGTTTTTATAAGGTTGTCTCGAGAAATAAGTTTTGCAGAGCGACAGTTCCTGTCCCTGTACACAAAACCAATACATTGCATTTTTTTGTGACTATTTCAAGAACTGCCATGAGACTGAGGTTTTTTAATACATAATAGTCATTTTCCCAGCTGAGTGGTGGCTGTGAAATCAATCCATCTAATCAAGGAAATCATGAAGAGTGTTTTCTTCTTTTAGTCGTATTTTAAACCCGCTGGAATGAGATGAATCGGACACCTGCTCCTTCAAGCGTATGACTAACCCATCCTTACTGCTTTTTGTGTTTCCAGTTGATAGGTGGCTTCATCCTGGGCATTGGCATCTATGCTGAGGTGGAGAGACAACGCTACAAGACATTGGACGGAGTGTTTTTGGCCCCGGCTATAATCCTGATCCTCCTGGGAATCATCATGTTTATTGTTTCACTCATTGGAGTCTTGGGTTCACTGAGGGATAATCTAACCCTACTGAAAGTGGTGAGTGGTGTACTGAGAGCCAAGTACTTTATCTTTATCTTTTAAATTAAGTTGCTGCCAGGATGCTTTTATTCTTTGTTTTTTATAACACTTTATGTGTGTTTATTTCTTATTTACAAAGCAGCATTAGTTATAGAACAGTGTTAATATTTACCTCCATTTGTACCACCAGTAAATCCCCTTTAAAACAGGTGAAAGTAGAGCTATAACTCTATAGAGAGCTACAGTAGCTCTCTATAGAGTTATAGCTCTAGATTCCTATTGACCATTTCAATGGAATTGTGTTCCTAGGTAACAGCTTGGGTACAGCTTAATTTATTCACATAGGCTGTGTTCAAAATCACATACTAACAAACTATTCATATAAGAATGATGTGAAACTGAGTATGTAGTGTGTTCACACTGCATAGTATTTTGTGTACGTGAGAAATGCCCAAATGTATACTTCATTAGCAACAATTTCTGAGTATGCAACGTGAGCTTACCGCACGTACTCAACTGCCCCACAATGCATTGCGTCTGAGTACCTCGAGACCGGCTGTCCTTCTTCTGAGGTTTTGAGCCAAAAGCCTAAAAGCTATTAATATGTTCACTCCTAAAAACATTCTACTAAAAGGGGTCAACATAAACTTTGTTTGTTTTTTTGTCATTGCGTTTGTGTGATTTTATGGGAGTCATTTGTAGAAGTCGTGAACATAAGAAAAAAACTAGATCCAAATTTGTCAATTTGTCTTATGGCGTGTTATGGTTTTATCTTCATCTCATTTACATGGAGATCATGTTACAACTGAAGATGCATGAGGTATTAAACTGCCTCATGTTATTTTGTTCAGATGAAAACCTTACTGTCATGTGACTGTGATCCATGATTACGGAGCCAAATGGGTAAGATTGTGACGGTCCTTTCCTGAGATGTTCGTTACATTCATTATCAGTTTTCTTGTCATTAATGTATTAATTCATGTATATCTATATGTGGCTCCGTGAGGAAAGGCTTGAGTAGCAGTCGGTCTTTCCTCTGTTTTTGTTATGCCTCCACGCCCACGACAGCTGTTGCCGGAGGCATTCTTTTTTCTTGTTGTCCGGTCTACTCTCGTGAAATTGATTTCTCAAATACGCATTAAGCAAATTTCTTCAAATTTGGAACACCACAGCACTCAAGGTTGAACTGATTAGAATCTGGTGGTCAAAGGTCACTGTGACCTCACAAAACACGTTTTTGGCCATAACTTGATAATGCACATGCTAATTATGACAACTGAAGTGAAGACATTTTGGACAGACATGGATGTAGACGGCATCATGGCTGGTTGGCGGAGGCACACAACCACAGGGCATCAATTCAACTTTAATGCTCTCAATCATCTCATATACATGACTATTAAACATCATTATGCTCGGTCATAAATCATTTTTTAAATAATATGTGGTGCATTTTAATGTTTATACGGTAGACGTTCATATTTATTTGTCTCCAGTTTTTACAGGTATAGAATGACTTTTTTTTTTTGACACCAACAACCGTTCCGTGTTCAACAGCAGTTTACTTCGGGCATGGTAGCATATGCTTCCCTTTCACCCTGGAACAGATGTTTGGGTGCAAAGACATGCAGGCAGACAGTGCTACAAATGCAGGACCAAACAAATACCGTTGTTTGTGGCAGTAGTGAAAAGCCTGATTTCATGTATCTAAGTTTGGTGATAACTTTAATAGCTGATCAAAAGCTCGTCCAAAAAACAACTATAAAGATAAATACTGAAATGTAAGTGTTTAATGACTCTTCCTTTCTATGGTCTGTTTGGTTACAGTTCATGTACACCCTAGCTGTGTGTCTGATCCTGGAGCTGCTCGGAGGAATCATGGCGCTGGTGTTCCGCAATCAGGTGAGTCGTCCAAGGTGTTGATCAATAACCTGACATTTAGAAAGACCTAGTGGGGGAACAGGTTAACAACCAACGCTTTATGCAGCAATAAACTGAAATTGAAATACTGTTCATCATGAGGATACAATAAAAACCAAGACAAAATGAATTGGATTCATCTTGTTTAATATAGCTTTTGGTTGATCTCGGTATGATTGACATGCACCAAACACTGCATGCATCTTTTAAAGCACACGGTAATATTAATGAATGAGCCATGATGAAGAAAAAGTCAATTTATGTCATGATTGTTATTCATCAAAACCAAATGCAAAAACCATGCAGGTTAGTGAGTTGACATCCTATGTGTGTTATTAAAAGGAGACTTCACTGACACCACATTGAAATCTTAATGTCAGGGACCGTATAATCAGAACGTATCTGTTCAAAGAGTAGATAGGATGATCATTTTAATGATATCCGTATGCTGATGAAAGGTACTGCTTTCCTGACTTGTGTTTCTATATGTGAGGAAGTGACCATGATCCATGATTACAGGGCCTAATGATAATGACATTCCTCTACTGAGATGTTCATTACATTTAATATCAGTCTTCTTGCCAATGATGAATATCTTAATGTGGCTCTGTGGGGAAATATTTAAATCTTTTTTCTTCTTTTTAATGCTTTCAATCATCTCATTTACATGACTTTACATTAAACATAATAATGGCCTGTCTTGGAATAACTTTTTTCAATAATATCGTGTGGTGCATTTTAATGTTCATGCCAGTTTGTCATAAGAAAATCTAAATGATCCACATAATGACTGTACGTTTCAGTTTGTTAATGGCAGTTTTATTGAAAATATATTACAAACTGAGCTTCTGTCACTTCTTTGTTTTACTGTTGTCTCATTTACATTGAGATTAAAAAGATATGTCCGTGCATTTGAATAAGATTTCAGTCTATTTCCTCTATAAGTAGATTTCATGAAAGATGGCTTTTTGTTTTCAGCATCGTGTTAAAAAGTGATAACGACATATGAGCTTATAGCACGTTATTTAATAATGGTCCAGTGTCTTGTGTCTCAAAGGGAAACGCCTCGCTAGACTTAATCCAAGTCTATAAATCTTCTTATTGTAATGTGATTTAAATATGGCTGCTTTGCCTCTATACATTCACTGTGAAGACCTGATATTTTCAGGGGAAGAAGAAAATAAATTGAATGAAAGGCTCAGTCCCTTCAATCTCTGAGCCTCTCGTGAGCGGAGAAGTCTCAAGTCTTTATTACAGGTTGTTAAAAGAGCGAAATGACGGAGCATCGGCGGGCCTGAATGCAGTAAATAGCCCAACCCCTCTTATGAAGTATAAATAAGACTAATGTATCCCAAACAAAGAGTGAAGTGGAATAAATGATTAGTTCCCTAAAAGAGAAGCTCTTCATAAACGTACTTAGTGGAGTTTCAAATATTTATTGTAGCGTCCGGATAGACTAATGCGTTAACCTGACGTGACCCTGCTGCACCAGATTGTGACTGACAGATGTGAGCTGTCAAACTGTCACATTTCAATATTCCAGTTCAGTGGATTAGTCACCTTGACTAATGAGAACATTTCCTCTGCTGCCTGCCTGACACATTGATTGTAGATCAGATGTGTCGTAGAAACAAAACAATTGTGGTAACATGACGTCCTTTGTATTATTAACACACACAAACTGTTTTGCTTTTGTTGTTTTTTCTCCCTCTTTACAGACTGTGGGTTTGCTGAACAAGAACATACGAAAAGGCATAGTGAACTACTATGATGACCTGGACTTCAAAAACATCATGGACTTTGTACAGAAGAGGGTAAGGTTATGTCACTGAATGCTTTCTGTCATGTGACAGGATTGAAAGGTCCATGTGAGCTTTTTAAATATGTCATAATGCAATGCAGTACACACAACACACCTGTTTAGCATTACAGGGCTCCAGTCAGGATTTGAAGTGATCTGGGATGATCACAAGTTGTTTACAGAATAATCAGAGAGACGTTACTCTGCAGCAGGAGTCTGTTGATTGATTGAAACGACAGTTGGCTGTTGTTTTGTGGAAGGTAATTTGGTGGTTTAGCAAACACCTGCCTCAGTTCAAATCCCTTCACAATGGAAGAGTTCAGCTTTTAAATGATTGTCTTGAATCCAAAGTCTAAGCTTCCAAAGCATTTATAGACTAGCAGACTTAACAGGCGTGTTCCCTTGATCTCCAGTGTGCCAAGGCTGTCAAATGATACCATTTATATCAGTTTCTTAGTATGAACAACGTGGTCACACTAGTTTCTGTCAAAGTTAGAACAGTTCTGTTTATTTCACATGAAAGATTTCTGTATTTGTGTTTGTGTCTCTTCTCACTGGTTTAAAAGACGCGGCGCAGTTAGGAAAAGGGGATGTCACCTACTTCGGTGCACCAATCAGGATTCAGTAACATTTAAATCTTAATGGGATGATAGTTGTGGGGTTGTTGGCTTTTTATTTCTTCCAAACTACTGTCAATCAAATCTGATCAAGCCACATTGATACAATCCTGCTGAGTTTTTATGTGTTAAACTCTTACTTAAAGCTACTGCAATCTCATCAGAGGGAATCCAAGACAGACCCCCCCCCCCCCCCCCCCCCCCCCCCCCA